GGTGTGGCCGCTCCTCGGCCGCCCGTGCGCGGGCGCCCCCCCCCCGCCGGCGCGCAACAGCCCGCGCCCGCAGGCGGGCCGCGCCTGCACGGGCCTCCTCGTGCAGCCCGACGCCGTGTGGGCCCCCGGCCTGGGCGCCGCCGCACGCTGCCGCCGGCCGCCCCCCGGCCGTTCGGCCGCTCCGCCGGCCGCCGTCGCCAGCGGCTGCTGCGGCCGCCGGGCGCCCGCGGCCGCCCGCTGCCCGCTGCCGCCGCGAGGCCGCTGGCCTGGCCGGCGCCGGGGCCGCCGTCGCCAGCGGGGCGCGTTGATGACGACGACGACGACGACGACGACGACGACGACGACGACGACGACGACGACGGCCACGACGACGACGACGACGACGACGACGACGACGACGACGACGACGACGACGACGACGACGACGACGACGACGACGGTGGGGCAGGGGGGGGGCGGCGGGATGGGCCAGGAGCGAGCAGGCGCACGCGCACACGCGCGAGTTCGCATGGCTTTCGAGAGAGCGCGCTGCGCGAGCGTTCGTGGCGTGAGCGCGGCCTCGCGGAGTGTGGGGCACGTTCGTGTCCGCAGCTGGGTTCGTCCGCCTGGAGGGGGGAGGTCCAGGAGGGAGAGGGCGCAGGGACGGGGGAGGAGTGAAGGGAGCCCTTCCGAGGAGAGGCCTCGTTCCCTGGCAGGGGCTCCGTTCACACAAGAGGGAAAAGGAGGGGGAGGAGGAGGAGGAGGAGGAGGAGGAGGAGGAGGAGGAGGAGGAGGAGGAGGAGGAGGAGGAGGAGGAGATGGAGGAGGAGGAGGAGGAGAAGGCGGAGGGGGGGTTGCGTGAAGAAGCAAGGTGACGGGAAGAACGGGTAAAGGAGGGGGACGACGAAGAGAAGGAGGGGGTGGAGAAGCTGTTGAGGAGCTGGGGCGCAGGTTGCTCTCGGAGAACGTTTGTGCCCTCTCGGGTGTCCTCTGGAATTCGTCCCGATTGTACGGGGACGGAAGGGAGGATGAGGAGGAGGAGGAGGAGGAGGAGGAGGAGGGGAAGAGGAGGAGGAGGAGGACGAGGACGAGGACGAGGAGGAGGAGGAGGAGGAGGTGGAGGAGGAGGAAGACGAAGAGGAGGAGGACCAGTGGAAATCCAAGATTCATCATCTATTTTGGAACAAACCTTGCCTCCAAGCTCCCTCATCACAGGCCCCTACAAGCGTTCTTCTCCACTGAGGGAACTGCCCTGCTGGGAGACAACTGTTTAAAGACCCTGAAGCGTGCCAAACACCATTCTCGGGACATCAACGCCACGAATCAACATGACTGTTGCGTCTTGACGATCCTGATTCGTGCCAGAGCACTGTTCCTTGGATTTCGACACCGCGAATCAAAACAACTGTTGCGACCTCACTATCCGGAGGCGTGCAAGAGTACCTCTTCTGGCACGTTGACCAATGGAACCCTTGAAGCTCTTGCATCTTATTGTAACGAATGTGCGCGGCGCTAAGACGAGAGCCACATTTTGAAAACGACCCGTCCTCAATCCGTGAAGCCTTTGCACACTTTTGCAAAGGATGTGCGCAGCGCTAAGGCGAATATTATAAATAACTTGCCCTCAATCCGTGAGCCTCTTGCACTTTTAAAAAACGAGTGTGCGCGGGGCCAAAGCGAGAGCCACTTTTTGAGAACGACCCGTGCTCAATCCTTGAACCTCTTGCATTTTGTACAACGAATGAGCGCGGCGCTAAGGCGAGAGCCACATGTTGAAAACTACCAGCCTTCAATCCGTGAATCTCTTGCACGTTTTAAGACGAGTGTGCGCGGCGCCAAAGCGAGAGCCACATGTTGAAAACGAACCCGTGGTCAATCCTTGCAGCTCTTGCACTTTTTATAACGAAGGCGCGGCGCTAAGGCGAGAGTCACATGTTGAAAGCCACCCGCTCTACATCTGCGAAGCTTTTGCCGTTTTCTACGCTTCAGGGTCACACATGGTGAGGAAGTCTCAGGCGAAGCGCCCGACCTGCTCTGTAGACCGGTCTCGGGGTGCGACAGGGAGGAGTTGCTTATAAGGAAAAGGAATGGAAGAGGAGGAGGAGGAGGAGGAGGAGGAGGAGGAGGAGGAGGAGGAGGAGGAGGAGATGGAGGAGGAGGAGGAGGAGGAGGAGGAGAGGCGAGGTCAACGCCGCCCTCGCAAACGCCCCCGCCGAGCCGCCAAGTCCAGCGGCAGCGGCGGCAGGGCCCGCGTGACGTACGGCCGGGTGTCCAGCGCGCGTGCTGATGTTTTGCCGGATGCTTTTTTGGCAGGCGGAGTGTGCATCGTATTTCTGCCTTGCCCTTTTTTCAAGGGAGGGATGACCACCCGGACAGGACCATTGGCGTCTACGAAACGGCCCTGGGCGTTTATGAAACAGCCTTGCCCTGCTCGATTCCTTCTTTGGACGAGTTTGCTACGTGATTTCGCGTGTCGGGGTGGTTATCCGTAAGGGCTTCGCCCCCTGCCGCCGGCCCCCTCTCTCGGAGAATGGGCCATGGAAGAGCTAAGTCATGAGGCCTTGGCGCTGTCGTGAAGCAGTATCGAAACTTCATGCGAAGCCGAGTCGCAATCAGCAAAACCAACTGATCACAAGAGGGGTTACCACACCTGGCGATTGGTAAGACGTGTATGGTTTAAGGGCTTGGTTACCACACCTTGCGATTAAAGGGCCGAGGGAGTTCTCGCAGTTTGGGTTACCACGCCTTGCGATGGATGTGCGTGATGGGTTCGAATTTCAGAAATGTGGCAAATCCCCTGTGTTTTTGGACCCTGACCCCGCGGATCTGCGTGAGGGGTGGCACCGAATTTCAGAAATGTGGCAAATCCCCTGTGTTTTTGGACCCTGACCCCGCGGATCTGCGTGAGGGGTGGCACCGAATTTCAGAAATGTGGCAAATCCCTTGTGTTTTTGGACCCTGACCCCGCGGATCTGCGTGAGGGGTGGCACCGAATTTCAGAAATGTGGCAAATCCCATGTGTTTTTTTGGACCCTGACCCCGCGGATCTGCGTGAGGGGTGGCACCGAATTTGATAAATGTAGCAAATCCCCTGTGTTTTTGGACCCCGACCCCGCGGATCTGCGTGAGGGGTGGCACCGAATTTCAGAAATGTAGCAAATCCGCTGTGTTTTGGACCCCGACCCCGCGGATCTGCGTGAGGGGTGGCACCGAATTTTTGAGAAATGAAGTAAATCCCCTGTGTTTTTGGACCCTGACCCCGCGGATCTGCATGAGGGGTGGCACCGAATTTCAGAAATGTGGCAAATCCCCTATGTTTTTGGACCCCGACCCCGCGGATCTGCGTGAGGGGTGGCACCGAATTTCATAAATGTGGCAAATCCCATGTGTTTTTGGACCCTGACCCCGCGGATCTGCGTGAGGGGTGTCGATTTCGAGCCCCCCCAGCAATTCAGACAACGCGCCCAGGTGAAGCTAAAAATCCTGTTTGGGCCTCCCCCCCCCTCGCGCGGTCAATCAACTAGTTACAGTAACCAGCAAGAAGTCAACTAGTTACAGTAACCAGCAAGAAGCAGAACTGTAACACTGGAAACTACAACCTACGACTGGTACAGGAAACTGCGAATCACGTGCCTCGCAGCCTGGTGGCCCCACAAGGGGGCCGGCGGATTATGGGGGTGGATGTTTGGACTTCTATTTTTAGCAGCACTGAAAACAGCAGCCTGACAATAACATGGTCAAGCACAAGCGGCAGAAGTGGCGGCAGCAGCAGCAGCAGCAGCCGAAGTTGCGGCAGCAGCGCCGGCAGCGCCGGCGGAGCTGTGGTGGTAGCAGCAGGTCGGGTCACGTCCGATCCCGCGCGGAGGCGGCCCACGCCGCACAAGTGGAGGCGGCGTTGGAAAAATATGCAGTGGTGCACTGAGGCACCCTCCTCGTCCTCCTCCTCCTCCTCCTCCTCCTCCTCCTCCTCCTCCTCCTGCTCCTCCTCCTCCTCTCTAAACACGAAATTGCCGGCAAGCTACTGCGACGCCGTCAAGGCCACGCCATCATCTTCGGCCTTTGCGATGTCGGAAGCCCGAGTGTTGCGACAAACTTGGAGCAATGTCCTAAGATCTGAGTTCGCGCCAATGAGCCCAGTGCGGTGGTGAGCCTTCTTCGACCGAGGTGGTGGCATCGGGGGTCCGCCACAGAGCAGCGTCCGAGAGGGCGACGTCCAGAAACGAGACGCCGAAAGCAGGATGACGATGGGACGAGGAGGACGGGACAAGGATGAAGGCGTGATCTAAGGAGGAGAGGAGAGGAAGGATGAGGAAGGAGGATGCAGGATTGATCAATGGGATAGGCCTTCAGAGCTGGCGGCGTCAGCCGCTCGAGAGTCTTCGGGGGTGGCGCGGCGGGGATGGCAGAACTCTCCAGCCGACGTGCCTCCTCGCTAGAGCTACAACCGCCTCGACAAGGATTGGACACTCCTGATGCACGCGTCAGCGAGCTGCACGCGAAGCCTGCAGGGGGAGAGATGGGAAAGACGAAGGATACACTCGGCGGCTGCACCCTGGGCGGAGAACCCGGGGGGGAGCTTTACATGTCTCCAGGGGCTTCGAATGCCCATGTCTTCAACGAGTCTCCCCGGATCCCCGGCGAATGCAGTACGTGCAATGGTGAAACTTGTCCGCTTGTGGGTTATCCTCCGCCGATGCATGCGGCAGGGAAGGAATGAGGAGGAGTGAAGAGTCGAAGAAGAACACACGACACAAGCATAATTTGTTGGTGCTCCGCGCGTATTTCTTGGATCCGCGTTGTGGCCACCCTGGCGGCGCCTCCCGCGCCGCCCCTGGCGCGGGAGGCGCGCCATAGAGGGGGGGTCCAGCGCAGATCCAAGAAACCCGCGCGGAGCGCCAAGAGTTTACGCTTATGCCTGTTCCCCCTTCCCTACATAAGGAAGAGTGACGAGGAGGGATGAGGATCGCAGGCCTCGGGGTTGACACCAACATCAATATCGGCAGTGTGCCTCCACCGAGGCAACAGGGTCCCGATCTCGGTGATGGTGGTAATACTCTGGCTTTCAAGCCGACCGAAATATCTCCACCAACACCGAAATCTAGGATCACCTCCCCCCTGTGGGTGCAGCACTCTGTGTTGGTGTTGGTGCACATTTCCAGGGCTCCAAGAGGAGTCCAGCCGGCCGAGGGCATTTGCCGCAGCCCGGGTTTCCGCTCAGGTGCCCCCGGCGAGGTGGCCCAGAAGAACCGGAACGGGGCCGCCGCCCTTCTCTTCTTGTGTTGCCAGCGAGGAGCGCGCGGAGTTGCAGAGGGAGAAGCAGCGAACGAGCAGGAGGAGGAAAAGGAGGAGGAAGAGGAGGAGGAGGAGGAGGAGGAGGAGGAGGAAGAGTTTCTGTTCTCCATCTCCATCCTGGCCTCTCCGTTCCCTCATTGCCTCCCCCCTTTCCCCCCTCCTCGCGTAGTCCTCCCTCTACTCGCTCGCCCTGAAGCGTCTCTTGGGGCCCACACAGGAAGCCTGCTGTCTTCAGTTTACACCTGTACGACAGAATGCGCGTCAAGTGTTTGAGCACTCGCCCTTCGCCTCTCGTCTTAAGTCGGGCCTGTCCCCCTACAGGGGGATTTTCGACGAAAAATCGAAAATGCCCCAAACATATTCCCCAAAGGGCAAAACATATCAAAAAAAATAGTCCCCAGACTATTCTTGGATTATTTGTTGATTATTTTCTGTTTTTTATTTTTCGTTCAAAATCCCCCTGTAGGGGGACAGGCCCGACGTAACTCTCGTCCCTCCTGCACGTCCCTCGTCCTCCGTCCTGCGCGAGAAGTGCACGTCCTGCGTCCCATCGCCGCCCCCTGCTCGTGGCCTCTTTGGGCTGAGAGGCCCCCCCCCCGCCCCGCCCCCCATCTCGGATCCCCGATGCATAACGGGGGCCGCGGGCCTCCGTTTTTTTTTCATGGATAACAAGAACGAGGTAAAAGATCCAACGCGGCGCGGGAAGCGCGAGCAAATGCTGAGCTTTCGCGTGCCCCGCCCCGCCTGGCGGGGCCCGCGGCCGCGGCCGCGCGGACGCGCGGCGCCGCGGGCGGAGGAGGAGGAGGAGGAGGAGGAGGAGGAGGAGGAGGAGGAGGAGGAGGAGGAGGAGGAGAGGAGGAGGAGGAGAGGAGGAGGAGGAGGAGGAGGAGGGAGGAGGAGGAGGAGGAGGGAGGAAGGGGGAGGGGGAGGGGGAGGAGGAGGGGGAGGGGGAGGGGGAGGAGGAGGAGGGGGAGGAGGAGGAGGAGGAGGAGAGGAGGAGGAGGAGGAGGAGAGAGGAGGGAGGGAGGAGGAGGGAACCTCGGGCGCGCGCGCGCGCGCTGCCTCTCCTCGGAGGGGCGCCCGCCGCGGGCGGCGGCGCCTGCCGCCGCCGCGGGGGCGGGGCGGCTCTCCGCGCGCGGCGGCCCCGCGGGGCGGCCCCGGGCCGCGGCCGGCGGAGGCTGCGCGCGTGGGCCGGGGGCCCATGAAACGACGCGAAGATCGGGACAAAATCGGATCGGGATAACTCGAAATCTCTGAGAATCGGCGGGTTTGGAGGATGTATTGGGCGCCGCGGCCGCTCCAGAGCGTTCCGGAACGCTCTGAGAGCGCTCCGGAACGCTCTGGAACGATTTATCCCGATCCTAGCCCTGTTTAAGCCCATGTGCAGACGGTTGGTAGTCCCCAAACGTGGTGGTGACAACACCTGGCGGTGAGTCTCGGGCGATTTGGTGTCACCACCCGGTTTGGGGACTCGTGCGGTTTTCCGAGGATGTCCTGGACACTGGTGGGTCCAGGAGTCACAGAACCCGGGGGGTGACCCCGCGTCCCCAAACCCAGCGGTGACCTTTTTGGGGATTCCAGGTCGCCACCTGGTATCTCACCACCCGGTTTGGGGGTTCCCAAAGACGGGGGTCTGCCAGAGCGCCCGCTCTCGCAGGATCCTCCCTGAGATCCTGGCGACTCCATTTTTTCGAGCCGGGCGTTGTCGCCCTTGTTCGGGGCCCTGGGGCCCTCATAGATCGATCCGGCTCGGAAAATGAGGCAGAAAGATTGGGTCCGGGACTCCGGGCGCGGATTTTCACGATGTTGCAATGTTTTCGCTACGTCGGATCTCAGGGTCTGCCAGAGCGCCCGCTCTTGCATTAAGTCGGGCCTGTCCCTACAGGGGGGAATTTTCGACGAAAAATAGAAAGTACTCCAAAACATAATAAAAAGAAATAGTTCAGAAATAGTCGGGGACTATTTGTTGCGTATGTTTTGGTCTTTTTGGGGTATTTTGACGTATTTTTTCTTTTTTCGTTGAAAATTCCCCTGTAGGGGGACACTCCCGACAGAAATCTTGCAGGATCCTGCAGGGCCGGGGTCACGTGGGCCCGGGCTCGGGAGCAGGATCCTGCAGGGCCCCCCGCGCTGACCCGGGCTCGGGTGCGGGAGCTCGCGGGAGCTTGCAGGGTTCTGCAAGGCCTGAGTGACTCGGGTCTGGATTGACCCGGGCCAGAAGATCCCCGACCCTGGGAGATTGCCGACGCCGACGAGCTCGTGGGCGAGATGGTGGTGGGTGTCTGTTGGGACGATGCCGCTTTTCTTTATCCCCAATGGTTGTAGTCTCGTGCCAGTTAACTGGGTCAGCAGAGCGAGCTCGGCTTCGCCCCCACGGACGATGGCGGCAGCTCGGCTGGACCGGACCCAGACATGATCGCGTGTCGTAAAAACAGGACGGGCCCTCGTTGGGCCCCGGGGCCATCCAAAAAACAATTCGGGATGAAAAACCCGCCCTGGGGAAAGGGTCTGGACTTCCAGGGACGCCGTCCCGAAAAAATCAGGACGTCGCACGTCTGGGGAGGAGGCGTGGGCGAGGAGGCCCTCGCGCAGGTCGACGATGGCGCTGGCGCTGGCGCTGGCCCTCTGGAGCCGGAGGGCGGCTCTGCGTGCTCCGGCACGGGCCGCGACAGGCAGGGCGGGGTGCAGTGCCAGTTCGCGCGGCAGGGCGTTCAGCGCAGCAAGCGCGGCCACTTCGCGCGCGTGCGCTTCCTGTGGTCGGACGACTCGTACACCTTGGGCGATGCTGAAGAAAACTTAAGTTTTCGGCCAGAGTCTCGATTATTCTTAATGTTTCACTGTAAATCCTAATATTTTAATGCAAATGTTGGGTTTTTATTCCATTTCTGAGACTATGAATTTCTTAACCCATGATTTCTTAAGCATTTCGCAGGGTGTACTGGGACTGGCGGCCGCAGCTCTCGGGGGGCCGCGGGGCCATCACGGCTCTGTCCGCTCCTGCCTCCGTGCACGACCGATGCTGCCTCCTGCGGCGTAGGAGGAGGAGGAGGAGGAGGAGGAGGAGGAGGAGGAGGACACGGAACTCGCGCGCACGACGGGCGTGAAGCTGTTGGACCCGCAATGCCGCGCCGACGCTCTGCCGCCAGCGCGCCGCCCCGAACGGCGACGCTCACCGCCCACCAGACCACCCCAACCCAACCCGAAGGCTTCCATTTGCCCTCCATTTCCAGTCGGGGGGGGATCGGGGAACACCGAAGAATTACATGGTCCCCGTACCCCCCCCCAACCCGAAATTCGGGTCAAGTTCGTGTCTTCGGGTGGGGTTGGGGTGGTCTGGTAGGTAGTCAGACGCCGTTTGGCCGACGACCTCGGGCCGTTGGCGACGGTGGTCGGGCGGGGCCGGGAGCCTGGCGCCGAGGGGCCGCCCCGGGAGAGGGAGGCCACTGCTTCGAGGACGAGAGAGAGAGAGAGCGAGAGAGAGAGAGAGAGAAAACAAACCTACCTCGCTTTTGACCATCCTCGCTTCCAAGAGATACCAAACGATGCCAAATCGCGGCCTGTACTGGTCAGGCCGCTTGGCGAGGAGGCGCGTGGTATGGCTTGGTTTTGCCTGGAAGCGAAAGCGGGGTAGGCAATTCACGCTCTCAGGGAGAGCGAGAGAAATAGAGAGAGAGAGAGAGCGTTGGTCAACTCAAGAAAACATCACCACTCTGATCTTCTTCGGATCCCGCTACCCTTCGTGGGTCGCGGGGCACAGGCATCCGGGAAGGCCCTCGGGGGGCCCGATCGGAGGCGTTCGGGTGCGCCCCGGGGGGCCCTTGGCCCCTTGGGGGCCTCTGGGAGGCTCCTGGGTGCGTACCTGCGCTCGTCGGGGCCTTGGGGGTTCGCTGGCAGTCTCGCGGGATCTCTTGGGAGGGCGGGCCCCCGGGCCAGGTCGACGTCCCCCTCGTGGGCTTCTTTCGAGGTCCCCCTGCGGGCCTCTGGGGAAGTACTGGGCTGGTCGTCCTCCTCCTCCTCCTCCTCCTCCTCCTCCTCCTCCTTCTCCCCCTCTCCCTCCCCGTTCCCCCCCTCCCCCTCCCCCTCCCCCCCCTAGCGTGTCGGGCCAGTTTGCAAGGCGGTAGGCCGACGATGCGAGTGACCGAAAGTTGCGTGGGGAAAGCTGCGTTTGTCCAGTTGGCAGTCAGCACGACTGCGCTAATACGACGAGTTATGCTACACGTCCCGAAAAGTCCGTGACAGCGCGAGTCTCGACCAGCCTGTCTTATTCAGGGGCTCCCCTGGGAGGGGCCAAAACAGCTCGAGAGGAACCCGACAGTGTCCTAAAAGGGCCCCAGTGCAGACCCTGACGGACCCAATCAAGACGGCCCAAGGCGGACCTTGAGAGCGCCAAGAAGGCGCGAGAGGGCGCTGGGAGGACCTCAAGAGGCCGACACTAATTCGAGCATCAAGGTTTTTGATGAATTGAGTCTCTCTCTTTGAGGAGGAGGGGGGGGGAGGCAGGGGGAGGGGTAAACGGGAAAGATACCCCCATCCCCAAGGGGGAAAAAGGGCTGGAAGAGGTGACCCGTCAAACCACCTACGCCCAGAGGGCTAGTGGGTCTCAGGGCTTCGATAAACCGTCAGATGTAGAGGAGGGAAGGGTGAAGATGAGGAAGGGACGCAAGAGGAAAACTGACGCGTCGGACGCATGACAATTTCGAGAACGGGTGCTCGCGCATAAGTCCGGGCTGAAACACCCGATGAGCGAAGCTCCAGCTGTTAGACTTAGCCCTGGTGGCCTTGCGACAGCATTCTTATCACCTTGCTTGCGTCGCTTGCAGCATACCGTCGGCAACAAGGAGGAGGAGGAGGAGGAGGAGGAGGAGGAGGAGGAGGAGGAGGAGGAGTGGGGAACCTGCCTCGCCGGGCCGGGTCCGTGCCGGGCCCGCCGGCGAGGCCTTCATCGGCCCCCGCGTGGAGGTGCTGCGGCTGCTCCTCACGGCGCCGGGCCCGCGCGCGAGTGATCCCGCAGCGCCACGAGGGCAGACCACGAGGTTCGGCAATCGGCGCACGCACGGCCAGGGCACCGAAGGGGGGCGCTCGGCAAGACTTCGGGGCTCGGGAGGGGCTCGCTGCTCCCTGGGTCTTTTCATGGCGGTTCCTCCGACGCCCTCCTCCTCCTCCTCCTCCTCCTCCTCGTCCCTCCCTCCCTCCCTCCCTCCCTCCCTCCCTCCCTCCCTCCCGCCCCCTCTCCTCCCTCTCCGCTCCTCCTCCTCCCCTCCTCCTCCTCCTCCTCCTCCTCCTCCTCCTCCTCCTCCCCCTCCTCCTCCTCCTCCTCCTCCTCCTCCTCCTCCTCCTCCTCCTCCTCCTCTCCTCCTCCCCTCTCCTCCTCCTCCTCTCCTCCTCCCCCTCCCCCTCCCCCTCCCCCTCCCCTCCCCCCCTCCCTCCCTCCCTCCTCTCCTCCTCCTCCTCCTCCTCCTCCTCCTCCTCCTCCTCCTCCTCCTCCTCCTTCTCCTCCCTTTGGAGCCCCAAGGGCTCTTCGGTCTTTTATCTGGCGTTCCTCGCGGTGATAGCTTGACTGCGCCGTCAGGAGTGGATCCTGGGCGAGAGCTGCCCTGGGGGGGAGGGGGTCGAGGCTTCCGGTGCCCGCGCGCTGAAGCGTTAGTCCATCGGATTCTAGAGGCGGCGGCGCTCCCCGAGATCCGGACGTCGTTCTTCTGTCCGCACACGCGCTTTCGTCCGAGATCGAGCCTCGGGGCCATCACTGACGGGCCCGTTTTCCACCACCGCCACAAGCGGGAGGGGGGAAGGAGGTGGAGGACGAGAAGGAGGAGGACGAAGAGGAGAAGGAGGAGGAGGGGAGGAGGGAGGAGGAGGAGAGGAGGAGAGGAGGAGGAGGGAGGAGGAGGAGGAGGAGGAGGAGGAGGGGAGGAGGAGGAGGAGGAGGTGGAAGGTGGAGGATGGGGAGGAGGACGAGGAGGAGTGGAGGATGAGGAGGAGGGAGGAGGAGGAGGAGGAGGAGGAGCCCCTCCCCCCCCAACATATAGTGGTGGTGGTGGTGGAAAACAAACCCATCAATCACCGATCCATGCAGCTTGAGGCATGCTTCGAGGGGGAGGAGAAAGAGGAGGAGGAGGAGGAGGAGGAGGAGGAGGAGGAGGGGGGAGAGAGGAGGAGGAGGGAGGAGGAGGAGGAGGAGGAGGAGGAGAGGAGGAGGAGAGGAGGGAGGAGGAGGCGAGGAGGAGGAGGAGGGAGGAGGAGGAGGAGGAGGAGGAGGAGGAAGAGGAGGAGGAGGAGGAGCCAGGAGGAGTGTCGCACTGCGGGCGCACCCTCCTGGGCCGGAGGTGGAGCCTCTTGTTGGGCACAAGGGTGGGCGCGGACTTGGGCGCGGTGTCGCCATGCGTGCGCCCTCGTAGATGGATCCCTCAATGAACGCGCAGCGTGTAGGGGTGCGCCGAGTTGGGCGCGGTGTTGCCATGCGGACTCCGTCACTGGGGCCGTAGGTGGAGCTAGCGCCTTCTGGGGCACCAGATGCGTGAGGTTCAGGAGGGGAAAAACACAGACACAACTAATTGTCGATTCCCCAGAAAATATGAGAAACTATGGGAAGTGCGGGGGATGACAGGAACCCAGAAAATATGGGGAAATGTATGTGTGTGTGTGTGGTGTGTGTGTGTGTGTGTGTGTGTGTGTGTGTGTGTGTGTCCCGGGTGCCCCTTCAGAGGTGCGTGCTGCCATGGGCGAGGTGCCCTCGTGGGGGCGCCCCCGCTGGGGCCTGCGCGGACACAAGCGTGTGAGAGGTGCGCCAGCGTGGGTTCGGCGCTGGGGCAGCTCCCCGTGCTGCGCGAAACGTGTGAGGGGTGTGCCGATGTAGGCGCGTCGCGGACATGCGAACGCCGTGACATTAAGATCGAGAGAGAGGGAGAGAGAAAACAAACAAAAAAACGGCCCGCCGCGGGCGCCTCCGGCTCAAGCAGGCTCCGCCCCCCCCTTCCCCCTCCCGACCCACCCCTGGCGCGGGGGCCGGGCGGGCCGGGGGGGGGGCCGCGCCCAAACTCGCTCCTGGGGCCTCCGGCACTGAAGGCGGAACTCCCTATGAGGTCCGAGGCGTGTGAGGGGTGCGCCAGACTGGGCGCGGTGTCGTCACTCCGGGCCGCAGGCGGACGTGCTCATGGGAGCAGGAAGCGCGAGGGGTGTGCTGACATGGACATGCGCAGGGCAGAGGCAGGGAGAGGAGGGGGAGAGGGATGAGGCGCGGGAGGCGGAACTGAGGTTTAATGCGCGGCGCTGCAGATTCAGTTCGAGGACCCAGCACCGCAGAGCGTTTGGGAAACAGAAAGAGGGGATGATGGAGAGGAGCAGGAGGCAGGAGGTGAGACGCGCGTCGCTGCTTATTCCATGCGAGTTCCCAAATTCGCAGGAGGGTTGGGACACAACTCTTTTTCCTCCTCGTTTTCCTTTCTCTGGTTTACGATGAACTGGAGCTCCAGCGGCAGCAGGATGAGGAGGAGCAGCGGCAGACAGCAACTTGCCTTGTTCACATCGCGCTCGGCCGTCCGTCTGATGTCCTTGTGGACACGTGATTGTACGGCTGGCCAGGCCTGCAAGGCGCTTGGCACCCGGGCCGCGGATGCAGGGATGCGGAGGAGGAGGAGGCGGCGGAGGCGGAGGAGGAGGAGGAGGAGGAGGAGGAGGAGGAGGAGGAGGAAGAGGAGGAGGAGGAGAGGAGGAGGAGGAGAGGAGGAGGTGGCGGGTGGTCATGAAGGTGGCGGTGGTTGTGGAGGAGGAAGATGAGCAGGAGGAGGAGGAAAGGGAGGAGGAAAGGGAGGGAGAGGGGGAGGGGTGGTGGTGGTGGAGGTGTGGGGAGGGGGGTGGAGGAGGAGGAGGAGGAGGAGGAGCAGGAGGAGGAGGAGGAGGAGGTAGCCTGCACCTAGTGGACGCCAGACCGAAAGCGGGGATGGTGCACGGGTCGGGGATCAGCCAGCAGAGGGGGGAAGAATGGAGGAGCAAGCGGAGGTGGTTTTGTCATGGTGGAGGTGGAGGAGGAGGAGGAGGAGGAGGAGGAGGAGGAGGAGGAGGAGGGGAACACAGGAGGATGGGGAGGATCGAGGATCGAGGATCGAGTGGTGGCGGTGGTGGCCAAGGATAGAGGATCGAGGATGTCCCCCCCCCCACTCGTGCCCCTCGCAGGCGCTCTGCGAGCCGCTCTACAGACCCGCGGCCGAGGCCCGCCGAGAGCCGCTGCGCCGGCCTGGGCCTGGCGCGGCCGGGGGTGCGGTCCTTCTCCCAGACAGGATCGCGTCGTAAAGAGTTCAGGACGGAGGTTTTTCCTTCTTTTCGGCCTCGAGAGGCCCTCGCCCGGCGCCAGGACCGTCAAGAACGGCTCAGGGTGAACCGCCGGCCCCGGGGAAAGGGTCTGGACTTCCGGGCCGGGCATCGCCTGGATCGGTGCGGTCCTTCTCCCAGACAGGATCGCGTCATAAAAAAATCAGGGCGGAGGTTTTTCATTCTGTTCGGCCTCTGGAGTTAAGTCGGGCCTGTCTCCCCACGGGGGGATTTTCGACGAAAAGTAAAACACACCCCCAAAATAGTCAAACAATAATATAAAAAAAGTCTGGGAACTATTTTTTGAGAATTTGGGGGCCTTTTGGGGGTATTTTGGGTGTATTTTTTCCGTCGAAAACCCCCCTGTAGAGGGACACACCCGACATAACTCTAGAGGCCCTCGCCGGGCCCCAGGACCGTCAAAAACGACTCAGGATGAAAAGCCAGCCCCGGGGAAAGGGTCTGGACTTCCGGGGGCGCCGTCGTGAAAAAATCGGGACGTCGCATGTTTGGGCTTCACTGCCTCCTCCTGGGTTCATCCCTATCTTTCTCCCTCGTCTCCTCCACCTCCCTGCCTCCCTACTCCCCCTTCTCCATCTCCTCCTCTCCCCCCTTCCTCATCCTCCCTCTTCCCGCTCCAGGAGACTGGGTCCGAGCTCTCTGCGGAACGCCGGACGAACGACTCGGCGGACGTTCCGGGATCGATTTGGATTGTGGAATCGTTAGCTCGACTCGGTTTGGCTTCTGGCGGCTGCAGGTGAGAAAATCTCGGCTGTCTTGAGATGCTCCACTATCAATTTGATTATCGTTTGTGGCACCTCGTGGCACTTCACTATTCTTGCCAATGCCCCCTCCCGTGGGCCCGTAGTGCAGCTCCAGGAATCGATGCTGTGTTGGCAGAACCAGCTGCTCGAAGAGGTTGTAGCAGGGATGGCAGGGCCAGGCCTGCTGGTGGCCAGGCGGGGTGGGTAGGCCCCACGGAGGAGGAGGAGGAGGAGGAGGAGGAGGAGGAGGAGGAGGAGGGAGAGGGAGGTGGAGGAGGAGGGCGGAGGAGGAGGAGGTGTGAGATATACGCTGTACATTATGTGTGTATGCTATGTTGCAGTGTGCAGACAGTGCAGAGCAAGGCTGTAGCATAGCGGTTGTACCATTGCACTTTGGCCCGAACCTTTTTAAGGCCCTTGAGTCAGACCGAGCACGCTGTGAAAACGTCTCAGATGTTTCTCTGGTTTCTCATTCTTATTGCCATCAGAGACTTCGTGGGCTTTGATAAGTTCATATTGGTAGCGGAGCCGGTCGATCTTTCGGCAGGCTCGTCAGCGCCCTTCATATCCTGTGGTTCGTTCAGCATCGACGGCCACATCTCCATATTGACTAGCTTCGAGCCCAGCGTCAGCTACATCTCGGAATCGACCTCCAGCGAGGTCCAGAGCGACGACTTCAGCAGCGAGTACGAGCAGTATCATCATTCCTCTCTCGGCAGCGAGGACGACTCCTACGCCGTCAAGGTCAGCATCATGGCGAAGGCAGGCGGCAGAGGAGCCGATGACCAGACAATACTACCAGAACGCGGAGTTCCACAGTTCGACGGCACATTATCGAGATGGAAGGAGTACGAGAAGCGGGCGACTATGTTCATAGCGAAGCTTACCTTGGAGAAGGAGGGCGAAGCTGCTCTCATGTTATCAGCTGGGCTGACGGGTGAAGCCTGGGATGAAGTTGAGGATCTCACGGCGGGCGACCTGATCAAGCCTGGCGCGGCTACAGCGCTGCTCACACGCTTAAGGAAACGATTCAAGATGGACACACGGACGGAGTTGGCAGATGACTTCGAGGAGTATTTCTACAAGTTACGACGTAATCGAGCAAAGACCCTGTTCGGCTACATATCAAGAGTTCGGGCGTCAGGGCGGAAGCTCAAGACGCATGACATCGAGCTGCCATCCAAGGGTCGGGGATGGCTGATTCTACGACGAGGTGGTTGCAGTTCAGACCAGAAGGCAGTCATCATGTCCATCGTGGGCAAGGATATCACACAGGACAAAGTGATCGAGGCGCTGGAGACGACATTCGGACAGGGGAGCACGGTATACGAGCCTAAATCATGCACGGAAGCAGTACCACGTGGACGACGAGATAGGAGAGTACTACGACGAAGATGCATACTATGGCCAAGACGACGAACTAGAGTTCGACGACGGCTACGAGCAGGAGTACTGGGCCGAGGACGGCGACGAGAGCTGGTGCGACTGCGAGGAGGCCTACTATCAGCGGGACACGGCGACGATTCAGGACTTCGACGTATCGGAGTACGACGAGGTCTACGCGGCCTACCACGACGCTCGCAAGCGTTTCAATGACTTGAAGCTTGCACGAGGCTACTACCCGGTGGTGGCGATGGTGCCAGGCGCGACGGGATCATCAGCACCGGCAGCAACGAGGCGCCCTCCTAGCAAGGGTGGAGCAAAAGGACGTGAACGATCTCGAGGAGCTGGTAAGAAGGGCAGCCCAGGACAGAAGGGCTCACCACACTCGGCACCATCTCGCCCTTTCAATCCGTATACGAGGCCAAGACCCACGGAGAGGGCGGATGCAGCTACGAGGCCAGCACCATCCAAGGCGACTTGTCTACGATGTGGCGGAGTCGGACACTGGGCGAAGGACTGCTCAGAACCACCGAAGAAGCGGCCCCATGGACAGATGGATCGAGAGATGATGGTGGACGAAGTCTACTGGGGCGACCGCAAGACGGCCGGCATCATTCCCGCACAATTGGCGATCCTGGACGGCGGCGCGACTACGCTTATGTCAGGTTCGGAGACTATCAAGGAATACCTGACCACATGCCACGCCAGGGGCTACCCGATCGAGACGCTGGAGTTTCACGCGTGTCGGAGGCCATTCCGTTTCGGCAATGGCAAGGTGGAGCACGCACTGTGGTGCGGCGTCATTCCAGCGAGCTTCAAGGGCAAGACGGGAACCCTGTACATCTACCTTGTTCCAGGGGAGACGCCAACACTCTTCCCGCGGCCCCTGCTGGAGAAGTTTGCAGTGCAGGTCGACTTTGCGAATCAGCAGTTGGCGTGGAACGGCGGCAGCTACGAGGAGGCGCGCACGTCTCCGCAAGGCCATTACATGGTGGATCTGCTTGAGGACATGGACGACCAGACGAAGGACATTCAGTTGGATTTTGAGTACGAGCCGGTCGATTTCAAAGAGTTCATGGACGGCGACAGGACCATCAGCGGCCTGGAGCTTCTAGATGAAATCTACAAGGTCGACAATAGCAGCAGCGACGATGGAGAGCAGTGGGAAGTTGCACATCAGCGGGCGCACTCAGAAGGATGCCCCCAACGAGTCGTGAAGGTCAACTGCTGTGGCGAGTATATGAAGCAGTATCTGTGTCAGAATCATGCTTCCTGCGGCAACCTTTGCTTCGCAACGGCGCCGATCCAGCCAGTCGACCCGAACCTGCCAGAACCATGCTGGTGCCTGGCGGACGCGAACAGCGACGGGACGCAGCTCACCGAGCAGGACACCTACAGCAGCGACGATGGCGACAAGAGGCAGGTCACGACCAACTTCATTCAGAAGATCGAATCGGCGATCAAGCACGCGAGCGACCAGCGCATGCAGGCAATGCGGCGTGCAGCGGCAAAGCGCTGCACCACGCGACGGAAGGTCTGGGAGGTCTATGCAGGCGAAGCTAGGTTATCTCAGAGTCTACGCGACCTTGGAGCGGACGTCGAGTCGCTCGGACTACACACGGGCTGGGACTTCGCGAAGGCCGAACACCGAGAGCGGTTCAAGCGCAAGCTACACGAAGAACAGGCAGACGAAGTACATCTCTCCCTGATGTGTGGACCTTGGTCCAACGTGCAGGAGCTAAACATTCACCAACACCCAGGTTGGAAGGAGTATCTTATTGAGCTACGTGGCTGGCATCGTCGGACACACCTGCAGTTCGTGGCGGACGTCTACCACATCCAGCGTGAAGGTGGACGTCATGCTCGCGCGGGACATCCAGCCGCATCGAGGGCTTGGCAGACCAAAGCCTGGCCCAACCTACCGGGCGACAAAGCGACCTTCGACCAGTGCATGCACGGTCTTACCCTACCAGGAAACGACGACCAGCCGGTCAAGAAGCCCACCACCATCAGGACCACCAAGAAGCTCATGGCGGCTATCAGGAGCACGCGATGCGACAGGTGCCATCAGCACGCAGTACTGGAGGGCAACGTGGACGGCAGCGGCGCCAAGCGCACAAAGGTCACGGGGGACTACCCGTTCATCTGTGCAGCCACCCTGGCACAAGTTATGGTGGAGGCCGAGGTCGAGGAGATCTACAACGGCGAAGACGTCAGCAGCGGCAGCAACCCCACCTCGACGGACGAGACGGCGAAGGAGGAGGTTGTCCACGCGCACTCGCAGTTACGCGAGAAATGCGGCACCGAGGCGTTGCGCTACGTCAAGCGGCTACGCCGGAACATGGGACATCCCAGCCCGACGGTACTACATCGGCTACTACAGCAAGCAGGAGCTCAGGAGAATGTGCTCAACTGCGCGTCTGAGTATCACTGCGAGCGCTGTATGCAGCGGCAGCGCCCGCCTAAGGCACCCGCATCGTCAGCCAAGCAGCCGACGAAGTTCAACGAGACCGTCTACACCGACGTGTTCTGGGTCAAGACAGCGACAGGCAAGACGGCCATCCTGTCGATGGTGGACGGTGCTACCAGGTACTGTGCCGCACGGACAATCAAGACGGAGACGGCCGACGAACTGATCAAGGCGGTCGAGCGCGGCTGGATCAGGCAGTTCGGCCCCATGGGCGAGCTACGTGCCGACGACGGCTCAGGCTTCGCGTCGGACAAGTTCACGCAGTTTCTGGAACAACATCGTATCGTTTGTGTGATCGCAGCAGGCGAGGCTCGGAGCGACGTCACCAGGTGGTTCGAGAGGCGATCGAGCTTTACTGCCAGGACGCCATCGAGCGCACGGCCAACACGGTGCTCGACGAGAAACTTATCACCGAGGCGTGCATCTATGTGCCCCACCAGGTCAACCGAGTGGCGTTTGCAAAGGTGCACTCACCATGCCAGTGGGTTCTGGGCATGGATCCCACTGCAACGATGACCAACTCCAGCGACAAGTTCTCGCCAGCGACCCTGTACCAGATGAAGGAGGACGAGGATTTCAAGGATGTGCTGGAAAGGAGGTCTATGGCGGCGTTAGCTTTCATGAGGGTGGACGCCTCAGCCAAACTTCAACGCGCACTCCTACGACGACACGTGGCGCTCAAGCACGATTTGTCCATCGGCCAGCGGTGCTACTACTGGCGCGAGGGCAAGACTATCAAACTGATCAGGAACAAGTGGAAGGGCCCCGCAGTCGTGGTTTTCAAGGAGATGCGCCAAGACGAGAGTGGACCACGCATCTACTGGATCGTTCACGGCACGCAGCTACTACGGCGTGCACCTGAACACGTTCGGCCAGACGCGAGTGATCAAGGGTGCGTTCTCCTCGAGAACCTGGCCCAGGCCAAGGATGCACTGGGCAGTATTCGGAGGACAGGCGTGACACAGTACCACGACATCAGCTCACAGCAAACCCTGTTCGACGCACCGTGCGACTCGGACATGGACGTCGACGACGACGCGGGGGACGGAGACGGAGACGAAGGTCCGGCATCCAAGCGACGTCGAGGAGGAGGTCCTGGTTCTAGGGCGTCCCCCGTGGCGGAGGTACCTACAGAGGCATCGTCATCTGGGTCAGCGGTGGCAGCAGCCACGGCAACACCAGAGGTGCCACCAGCCACAGCAGCTCCAGCGGGGGATCTTCCTGACGCGGAGGCGCTGGCACCCGACGGCAGTCGACAGACGTCTAACTCTGGTCAGCCAGACCATGAGCCGACGCCGACAACACCCCCACCAGAGCAAGAACAGCCAGCAGCTCAACCGACAGCACAGCCAACGCAGACAGCGCAGCCAGCAGCCTCATCGTCATCAGCGGTGGCAGCACCATCATCGGAGCAGGAGCTCGGATCGACGCAGACGCGGTCGAGGCCTATATCAAATCTTCAGAAAGAGCGGCTCAGGATGGACAAAGCGGAGGCGGCGATATTCACTAGACCTGGAGGCGGAGTCTTCAGAGGCACTCTACCCGACCCTGGACTGAGCAGCGCGGTGCCAGTACCGGACCTCGACGATGCTGACGACGAACTTGCAGCTTTACAGCTTATGGTCACCAGTCAGGATTTGCCATTCGGCTGGGAGTTCGACGGCACGGGTGCAAGGCTCAGCGACATATTCGTGGACATCAGCACGAGGAACATGACGCCCCACGAGCGCGCAGCGGAAGGAGCTGACGGAGTTCTTCGGCAATGACGTCTGAGAGTTTCACAAGCCCACCGGGGAGGAGGACCCTCGGCGGATACTCAAGGCGAAGTGGGTGCTCAAGTGGACAAAGAACGACGACGGCACACCACGTGCCAAGGCGCGGCTGGTACTACAAGGTTTCAACCCCGACGCACTCAGTGGCGCGGCACCGACGGCATCACCTACAGCCTCGAGGCTGGCAAGACAGATGGCGCTACTACTGGCGGCCAACAACGGCTGGAGACTATGGACAGCAGACGTAGCTACTGCATTTCTTCAAGGACGACCCCAAGAGCGTGAGTTAGATGCGAAGGTGCCCAAAGACGCGGCAGAGCTCATGGGCATCGAGCCGAATACTCTGAAGCTCATCAAGCCAATGTACGGCCAGGTGGACGCACCGAGGCGTTGGTGGCTACGTGCGGTGGACGACCTGAAGGCCAGTGGTCTCAAGCAGCATCCTTTGGACCCCTGCGCGTTTCTCAGTTTCGATGAGGACGGCAATAATGACGCGTTCATTCTACTCTATGTGGGCGACATGCTGGGATGTGGAGATCGGCGGCCGGGCAGTAACTATAGTCGAGCTATCACCCAGTTAAAACGAATGCTCAAGTTCAGGAAGTGGATCGAAGACGACAAGATGGATTACTGCGGCAGCGACTTGACGCAGACCCCGCACTGGGGGAACCCGAAGTCGAACAGCAGCGAGATTGAAGTGAAGATGGCGACCTACGCGAAGAACCTGAAGCCCATTACGATCGACCAGAAGGGCAGCGACAACACGAGGGAGCTCACTATCAAGGAGAAGCGGCAGCTACGAGGCCTACTCGGAGCGTTGCAGTGGCCATGCTCTCAGGCGTGTCCTCATCTTTCGGCTTCGGTCAGCATTCACCAAGGGCAACTACCTACGGCAACAGTGGGCACGGCCAAGGAGGCGAACAAGACACTGCGGTTCTGCAAGCAGAACTCGGACGTCGGGCTCAAGATGAAGAAGATCGGCCAGGTATGCGACATTGTGTTCGTAGCAATGACGGACGCAGCCTTGGGGAGTTCGACAGGGCGGGCCAACTCATGGTGGCTGCGTCATCTTGGCATGCCACAAGAAGATATTCGACGGACGCGAGTCTGACTTTAGCGTGATCGACTGGAAGTCTTTCAAGCTACTACGCATGGGACGTTCCTCTCTGCATGCGGAGCCACAGGCAGCAGCAGCGGGCATGGATGGCTTGGAGTTCGCGAAGCGATTCTGGGCAGCCCTGATCTACGACGGCGTGGACATCACGAAGGATGAAAGCACCCACATGGCGGATGAGTCAGCATTAGTTGTGGACGCGAAGGCGCTCTACGACGCGGCCCAAAAGGAGAGCATCACTAGCTTCCAGGACAAGCGGACCGGCATCGAGGTGCTAGCGCTGCGTGAGAGGATGGAGGCTACAATGACACGCTGGAGGTGGGTATCTTCAGAGAGGCAACGCGCGGACGGGCTCACGAAGATCGCGGCGAGACAGCTTCTCGCCGACCGTCTGCGATATGGCAGGCTACAGCTCAAGCATGACCCGAACTACACGGCGGCGAAGAAGAAGACCAAGGAAGAGCGACAGGAGAGCATAGATCAGACCATGCCGGTGACGTCGGCGGCAACGTGGAAGGCAACGACACCGTTCATGCAATTGGCGGTGTTCGCAACTAGTTGTTGCAGATCGGCGGCTCACTCGGGCTACGACACGAAGAACGAGAACGACGGCTATGGTATTTTGATTTGGTTTGCCATGTTCTTCATATTTCTTGGAGTATGTGGAGCCTATCCCGTTGCATCCTACCTGATCAAGGTCAAGGAGGCCGGGTACAAGTGCAAGATTGAGTTGGCAGTTCTACGGGCGAAGACCGAAAAGGAGAGGATCGAGAAGGAGAGAGAACCAAAAGGACCATCAAGTGACGAACGCGGCGGCTCGTCGAACGACCAACACACGGCCAGGACGGTGGGAACGCAGAGCATGACGACATACAAGCTCAGCGGAGACGTATGGAGGCTTCAGCATCAGACCCAAGGTTTTCGCAGAGCAGGCGAGGTGATGACCGAGCCAGAGTTGACAGAAGGTTTTCGAGTTCACAAGTGAGGTTGGTATTCAATGCTTTTATTTCTTCGTTCTGCGGCTTGCATTGCTTGCCGCCCGAGAGTTTACGATGGTGGACTTCGTTTGGAAATCCATTTGTGATCGTGGATTTCGTTTGGAGATCCATGTATGAATGTGGATTTCGCTTTGGAGGTCCATTTACTTGCAGTGCGATCTATCGGCATTGTTTCTCTAGCGCGGAGTTAGTTACACTTTCTCACGCATTATAACTTTGTTTTTCATTTTGTTTATTGTTAATGCAATATTATGAATGTTTATCTGGATTTGTTATATTTCAGACTGAAGGATGGTTTCCCTCTGTTTCTTTGGTTTTTACTCTTTCACGGGTGTGAGATATACGCTGTACATCTTGTGTGTGTATGCTATGTTGCAGTGTGCAGACAGTGCAGAGCAAGGCTGTAGCATAGCGGCTGTACCATTGCACTTTGGCCCGAGCCTTTTTAGGGCCCTTGAGTCAGACCGAGTACGCTGTGAAAACGTCTCTGATGCTTCTCTGGTTTCTCATTCTTATTGCCATCAAAGACTTCGTGGGCTTTGATAAGTTCATAGGAGGAGGAGGAGGAGGAGGAGGAGGAGGAGGAGGAGGAGCAGGAGCAGGAGCAAGAGCAGGAGCAGGAGGACGAGGAGGAGGAGGAGGAGGAGGAGGAGGCGGGAGAGGGAGGAGGAGGAGGAGGGCGGAGGAGGAGGAGGAGGAGGAGGAAGAGGAGGAGGAGGAGGACTCCCTGCTGCTCCTCTGTCAGAGATGAAGCAGCCCAGGCCGGCGGCTCCCCGTGGCTCATGGTCATGGGCGACATGGACCTGCCTCCGCGTTCTCGCTTTTGCTCCCTCCCCATCTGCAGTCAAAAACCCTAATAAGGACGCGCGATTCTTCTCAGGGTACCCCTGCGTCCCTGCTCTTCCTTGCTCTGGCGCCCCTGAGGTTTTCGCCGTCCGCCGCCCCCACCAATCCCAACCTCGGTTTCCAAGGATCTTGCGTCCTTGCCGCGCGTCCTTATTAGGGTTTTTGACTTACTCTTCTCCCATGTCCCCATCCCTTCGTTTTCCCCTCCGTCTGTCTGTGTGTATGTGTGTCTGTCTGTCTGTCTGTCTGTCTGTCTGTCTGTCTGTCTGTCTGTCTGTCTGTCTGTCTGTCTGTCTGTCTGTCTTCTGTCTGTCTGTCTGTCTGTCTGTCTGTCGGTCTGTCTGTCTGTATCTCGCTATTTCTTTCTTTGTGTTGCTTTGCTTGTTGTTCTTCTCTTTATACACACACACATATATACATATATATATATATATATACTGATATAGACGTATTCTAGATGTTCCGCGTAACCCCACAAGCCCATCCAGAAACGATGCCCAGACGAGTTGCTCTGATCAGGGATGTGAACGAGAACGTAGTGGAACAAAGAGCTGGCAGACGTCGTGCCTCAAGAGGGGAAGGATTGAGAAGGAATCCGAGGAGGAGCAAGAGGAAGAGGAGGAGGAGGAGGAGGCGGAGGAGGAGGAGGAGGCAGAGGGGGGGAGGAGGGACGAGAAAGGATGAGGAACAGGCGGATGAGGAGGAGGAGGAGGAGGAGGAGGGCGAGCAGAAAGGTCAGAGGCCTCGTGGATGTCTCGGATTATCTTCGAAGTTCTTTCGAGAGCTTCTTGGAGTCCTCTTGCGGCGTCTTCAGGGTCTCTTGGAAGTCCCGGGGGCCTCTTGGGGCGTTTTGGATGCCTCTGGAGGGCCTCTTGGAGCCTCTTAGGGGGTCTCTTGGGAGCCTCGTGGGGGCATCTTGGGGGCCTCTTGGGGGCCTTTGGGGGGCCTCTTGGGGCCTCCTGGGCACCTCGTGGGTCCGTCCTGGGGAACCCTAGGAAGTCTCGGGGACCATCTTGGGGCCCTCTTGGAGGAGATCGATCAAATGAGGGGGGGCTCCTTACTCGGCCCCCCCTCAGGAGGCCAAACTTCGGCCAACACTTTAGTCCAGCCCGAGGCCATTTTGGACGCTGCACCGACACGCGGCCCGCCCCCGTCCAGGTCCAGGGGGAGGGGATATAGGGGAGGGGTCAAGGCACCCTCCCCGCCCGCAGGCCGTCTCGCTCACTCCCACCCGCCCTCCCAACACATGAGCAGCACCCGAGCCGCAGCGTGGTCAGCAGTAGTTTTGGGATGGGCAGCGAATGGGAACTAAAGCAGGCCCCATGTGCGCAACGCTGGGGCGAGGTGCGCCAGGCGTGCCAGGCCCGCCAGGTGCGCGAGGCACCCCTGTGGCCCAAGCGTGCCTGGCACGCCCAGTGCGCGAGATGCGCCACGTGATCCACGTGCGCCATGTGCGCCGCATGCTCCAGCCGCGCCAGGTGTGGGGCACGCGCAGAGTGTGCCAGCAGCGCCTGGGCACGTGCCAGTACATGTCCGCCACCACCACCCTTGCCGAAAACCAGTGCGCAATCGCGGCGGGGTGGCCGTCATAGCGCCTGGTGGGCTTGCACATAGCATGCAATATGCCAGCACCCCCGCCATCCCAGTCAAACACCACTACACAGTGATCGCGGGGTACCCGCACCTGATCCAGATTTTGTCTCGAAGGGTATGTTGCATCTTTCCCACATGCAACGTGGGTATCCTGTTGTCTCTGCACACCCCGCGCAGGAACCTCACCCACCGCCCCTCTCCTCCTCTTATAGCCATCCCGCCACCATCATCATCATCATCATCATCATCATCATCATCATCATCATCATCATCATCATCATCATCATAATCATCATAATCATCATCATCATCATCATCATCGTCATCCTCATCATCATCATCCTCATCCTCATCCTCATCCTCATCATCAGCATCAGCATCAGCATCAGCATCATCATCATCATCATCATCATTATCATCATCATTAGCATCATCAGCATCATCATCATTAGCATCATCAGCATCATCATCATAATCACCATCACCATCATCATCACCATCAGCAGCATCATCATCTTTGTCACCATCTTCACTACCCTCGTCATCTTCATCATCATCAGCATCAGCAGCATCGTCATCAGCATCATCATCGCCATCATCATCTCTATCAGTATCACCATCATCAGTTTCCTCATCATCAGTTTCCTCATCAACGGTTTCCTCCTCATCAGCATCAGTATCATCATCACCATCTTCATCATCATTATCATCGCCAGCATCATCATTGTTCTCACCATCAGCAGCGTCAGCATCGTCTTTACCGTCGTCGTCGGCGTCATCATCATCATCATCATCATCACGCACGCACGCACGCACTCACTGACTCATTCACTCACTCGCAACCACGCCATGGTCATCGCCAGCATGATCACCACCATCACCATCGTCATCTCACACGCACCCGCGCACTCACACACACACACACACACTCTCAAGCACACAATCGCACGCCCACCCATCATCACACTGGTGTAATCATTATCATCATCAGCATCAACATCATCATCATCACCACCATCACCACCACCACCATCATCATCATCATCGTCATAATCTTCCTCATCATGATCACCATCATCATCACCATCAGCATCATCACCATCCTCATCATCAGCATCAGCACCATCACCCATCACTCAGCATCGTCATTACACCATCATCACCATCATCATCATCATCGTCATCATCATCAACATCACCCCACCATGGTCACCGGTCATCATCACAGCACTCACACTCGCTCACATGCTCACACAGTCATCTTGAGGACCTCTCGATCGGTAGCCTCGTCTGTGAGTGAATTGCGAGGAAGTCTCAGGCAGGAGCCACCTCATGTTTGTAATCCCAGCGGGTCATCCTCAGACCTGCAACTGTCGTCATTGTTGTTGTCTTCAGGCCTGAAGATGGAGGAAGACTCAAGCGGGAGCGTCGTCTGTGAGGGAGTGTCGAGAAGTCTCAGGCGGGAGTCCCCTTCCTAGGGGGCCCGCACCTCATGTGTTTCATCCCAGCGGGTCATCCTTAAACTTGTAAATGTCGTCACTTTTGGGCTCCCCAGGCCTGAAGATGGTGGAAGCCTCAACCAGCGGGGGCCGCCTCCCTGTGGGGCCCGCACTTCATGTTTTGAATGCCGGCGGGTCATCCTTAAACATGTAGTTGTTGTTGTTTTAGCTCCTCAGGCCTGAAGATGGAGGAAGAGAGCCTCGTTTGTGAGTGAGTTACGAGGAAGTCTCAGGCGGGAGCCCCTTTCCGAAGGGGCCCGCACGTAATGTTTTTAATCCCAGGGGGTCATCATCAAACCGGTACTTTTGGGCTCCCCAGGCCTGTGTACGGAGGAAGTCTCAAGCGGGAGCCTCGTCTGTGAGCGAATTGGGAAGAAGTCTCAGGCGGGAGCCTTTGTCTTGCACGATGCATGAGGAGAACAGGCGGGATGGAGATGAGATGGAGAAGGAGGAGGAGGAGGCGGAGGAGGAGGAGGAGGTGGAGGAGGAGGAGGAGGAGAGGAGGAGGAGGAGGAGGGGAGGAGGGGGAGGCGAGAGGGGGAGGGGGAGGGAGGAGGAGAGGAGAGGAGGAGGAGGAGGAGGAGGAGAGGAGGAGAGGAGGAGGAGAGGAGGGGGAGGAGGGGGATGATGATGATGATGATGATGATGATGATGATGATGATGATGATGATGATGATGAGGAGGAGGAGGAGGAGGAGGAGGAGGAGGAGGAGGAGGAGGAGGAGGAGGAGGAGGAGGAGGAGGAGGGGGCGCGCATCAAGAAACCATGCGCTTTTCGTCAGGGTGTCCTGGGTTCCTTCGCTCCGCCCGCTGCGCGGTGACTTCCCGCAGCCGCGGAGGAAGCTGCTGCGTTCAGGGCGCTCCCGGAATCCCCTCGGGCGCCCTTCGCGCGCGGGTTTTCTGGGTTGGCTTTTTTGTGCGAGGGTTTCTTGCAGCCGCTCCCTCACTGTAAGGTCTTGTTGGCGGATGCCGGCCCTGCGCGCAGCAGGCAGTGCTGCGGGCACTCCCGCCGTCCCTGTCACAAAACAATGCAAAGTGCTCGCGGTCCCCCCGATCATGACCCGGGATTTTGTCCCAAAGTGGACGGTCGGTGCCCGCATTGGTCCTGGTTGGTTGCCGGTCGCCTGGGGGAGGGGGTGTTTATTCATAGTGAACAGTGATAACCCATCCCCGAAGGGGAAGATGGGGGGTTAGAAGAGGACATTCCTTAAGCTACTCACGTCCAAAGGGCTGGGGGGGATTCCAAACCATCCTGTGTTGAGCTGGGTCTTCGTTATGAATCAGCAGCGCCGCGCCGCCTCCTCCTCCTCGTCCTCCTCCCCCTCATCCCATCATCGTCATCGTAGTCATCATCGTCATCATCATATTCATCATCACCATCATCATCATCAGCATCAGCATCATCATCATCAACATCATCATCACCATCACCATCACCATCATCTTCACCCATCACCATCATCATACATCATCATCATACATCATCATCATCATCATCATCATCATCATCATCATCACCATCATCACCATCATCACCATCATCACCATCACCATCACCATCGCCATCACCATCATCACCATCATCAGCATCATCATCATCACCGTCACCATCAGCATCCCGTTCCTGTCTCAGCCTTGCCATGCCTCATTTGGGCACACCCCTCACACGCTTCGTGGCCCCATAGGAAGCCACAGCGGAGGCCCAACTGCCAGGGTCCGCATAGCTGCGGCGCCCCATTTGGGCACACCCCTCACGCGCATCGTGGCCCCAAAAGCGAGCTTCAGTAAAGGCCCACATGCCAGGGCCAGCATGGCGGCGGTGCTTCATGTCGGCGCACCCTCATACGTTTCGTGGCCCCATA